GCTGTGAACAATCATCGAAGCTCAAAATGTCAAATTCACTCCTAGGCATCACATTTTCGGTGCTCTGTTAGTTAACCACAGATCAGGGAAAACATAAGGTATTTCTCTTCCGGGGATTGGCTTATCCCCCTTCTGACACAGCTGCCTACCAATACCTCTGGGAACACAGCAGTGACGGCTCGAAGGTGTGGGCTCCCTCCAGCTACGTGGGAGACCAAGTTGCAGTTGCAGGTTTCTGGCCACAGCCTACCCCAAAGCTGGCTTTGCAGCTGTCTGAGTAGTGAACCAGAGGGGGGAAGATATCACTGTCTCTTCTTCCTCTTCCTCGGTTGCTTTGTGTTTCAAATAAATAGTCAATTAAAAAAGAAAGTAAAGAAATCCCTACTGAATAGACAGAGTAACCTTTCATTGTTTATAAATAACACATATTGGTAAAAGGACTGTAAGTGTGGGTTTCTGCCTTGTCAAACAACGTAGAATACAAAAGGATTTTTTTAAAACATTTTATTTATTTGAAAGGCAGAGTGAAAGACATAAGGAGATCTTCCATCTGCTGGTTCTCTCCCTAAATGGCTGAGACAGGGCTTTGAGAACAAAGCCAGGAGCCAGAAACCCCACGCAGGGTCCAAGCACTTGGGGCATTTTCTGCTACCTTCCCGGGCACGGCAGCAGGGAGCTGGATTGGAAGCAGTGCAGCAGGGACTTGAACCCTGCTATGACGCTGGATGCCAACGGCACCACAACCCAGTCCCGTGGACTTTGTCTCCTGGGAGGTGTAACGCAAAGCCCCAACTCGCCTACCTGCTCCACAGGATGCCTCTGACGGCTTACTGCATTTTGGCACTCATTAATGCACTCTCCAGGTGACTCCTGGGTTCCGCTTTCCCCCGTTCAGCATGTTCTGTTCTGCAGTTCTCCACTGGCACCTGCTTCTGAGCACCGCCTCCTCTGACCTGTGTTGTTTATTTATTTTTTTTTAATGTAAGCCTCGATAATCTGCAAGTCTTATTTTCCATCTCAGATGTCGCTGTCTCCCTGCCACATAATCCATCATCTTTGCACACAGCCTGGCATTTGTGGACTGACACACAGCACAGAAACGGATGGCTTGGCTGACCCGATGAAGACATCTGCTGGCTGATAGAGCTTTGAAGGCAGGCTCTGCGTGAACTGGAACTCACTCGGTCATATTCTGGGGCACATGGTGCTTAGAACTGAAATGAATTTAAGTGCTAAAGCTTTTAATAAACATTGGCTGAGAAGAAAATCAGACAAGAGCAGAGGTGTTCTTAAAGAAACACTGTACCACTGTTGTTGATGGCACAAAAGATAATATAGGAGTAAAAGATTTGGCCATCAATTTTAGATTCCAAAACTGAATCAGGAGAGACTCTGAAGATGAAGTTATAGGAATATCTGAAACTACTTGTTTTACATAAATCAAACATGTACAAAAGTAACCTTAAAACCGACACCTAAATTTTAAAGTCTAAAAGAGCTATTATAGTCAAGTTTAATTGACAATACTTTGTCTTGGCAGTATGCAAAATAACGGTGTGTCTTATACAACAGAACTTCAGAAAGTGTGGAAAATGGAATTAAAATGTTTCTTTTGGGACCAGTATGTGGTAGAGTGTTTAAAGCTGCCATCTGCAATGCCAGCATCCCATGGGGTGGCCAGTTCATGTCCCAGATGCCCCACTTTCAATTCAGTCCCTGAGAATGGCCTGGGAAAAGCAGCAGAAGATGGGCCAGGTACTTGGGTCCCTGTCACTCACACAGGACACCTGGAATAAGGTCCTGACTTCAGCCTGGCTAGTGTTGGCCACTGTAGCCATCTGGGGAGTGAACCAACAGATGGAAGATCTCTCTCTCTTTCCCTCTCCCTATTCTATAACTCTTTGAAATAAATAAATCTTTAAAAAAATTTCTTTTGGCAAAGACAATACTGAAATACACATATATAAGTAATCAAAGTCTCAGACAAAATATGGACTTCTACTTAGATCTGATCAAGCCAAACTTTTCTGAGTTATAAAATTAACGTGGAACAAATTATTTCAAAATGCCTAATATATCCCTTTACCAGCCTACACATATTTGAGTTGGGAAGAACTTTGTTAAGCATATACATTAAGCAAGGACCATCTGTGGGAAAAGCAGGCAAAGCAGGTGCTTCGTTCTGACCGCAGCCCCCGTCAGTGACAAGTTGTCTAACCGCACTAGGTCTCTGCTTCCCCACCTGTAAGATCAGGACAGGTAACGACCATCTACACAGAGCAATACCGAGAAGTCGGCAGCCTGCACAGGAGAAAGTCTGTTACAGACGCCCACCTTCCCTACACACACAAGCAAGAAGCTCCAGTGAGTTACGAAAACGATAAAATGCTTAAATTCAAATATTTAAAGGGTTATTTTGGATTAGTCATGTAAGTAACTGGATTAGATAAAATTTACATTCAACTCAATCAGACACACACGCGATGATTTATGCTGTTATCCTCAGGTACTTTTTCTAGCAGATTTAAACCTTTGGCATAACTCTCAGAGTAATATTTTTAATTTTGTTTTCTTAAACTTGGAAAGAGTGCATGCACACTCCCTTCCACTTGTTCACTCTCCATATGCCCGTGACAGCCCAGGCTGGGCCAGCACAGGAGCTCATTCCAGTTCTCCCATGTGGGGGTCAGGAGACCACTAGTAGAGCCCCCATCGCTGCCTCCAGCATCAGCAGGAGGCTGGAGTCCACGGTCTGAGTCTGGTACCAAACCAGGCACTCCAAGGTGGGATGTGGGCATCTGGACCGACACCGTAGCTGTCAAGCCTGCCTATCTTGGAATGACTTCAGTGCGTTAATGAAGCAGTGAGGAGATAAGGAGACAGAAGCTATTTCCAAAGTGGTATGATGATTTCTGACCGTGAGGCTGGAGCGGGAGGCAGCTCAACTCCCACCCTGATGATGGGATGTGCACCTCAGAGAAGCATCCTGCCCACGCAGCACAGACGAAGCCCCTGTCTGTAGCACCAGTATCCCACATGGGCACAGGTTTGAGTCCCTGCTGCTCCACTTCCGACCCAGTTCCCTGCTAATGTGCCTGGGAAAGCAGCAGAGGAAGATGGCACAAGTGCTTGGGCCCCTGCACCCACGTGGGAGGCCCAAAAGCAGCTCCCGGTTCCTGGCTTCAGCCTGGCACAACTCCAGCCCTTGTGGCCATTTGGGGAGTTAACGAGTGGATGGAAGACCTCTCTCTCTGTCTCTCCCTGTCTCTAACTCTGCCTCTCCAATAAATAAATAAATCTTTAAAAAAGAGAAACAAAGCCGGCTAGCTTTACCTCCATCTTTGTTAGCTAAAAGGGAGACACCCATACACGGCCCCCACCAACGAACGCCCTGGCTCACAACCATGCTCCTACAAGTCAGAGTCTCTCCCTGAGCTGACGGGCAGCAGTCACTGGAGACAGTTCCATCCCCAACACCTGCTCATCTCTGCAGACTGCGTTCCTGGCTCGGCACCTTCTGTGGTCTCTGCCACGCGCCCTAACGAAGCCAGGGTTCAGGAATGTACGTTAAAGGATGAAGGGCCACGGGAAGCCCGAATTTCACTTCCACTTTACATTCTCAAGAGACCTCCTTTGAAAAAACAGGTTTAAACTTTTATTTACGTTTTATCTAAAAGGCTGGGACAAACAGATGCAATGTTCCACCTTTTGGTTCATTTCCCAAATGCCAGCAGTCAGGGCCATGCCAGGCCAAAACCAGGGTCTTCCACGTGTGTGAGGGAAACCCAAACACTTCAGCCACCACTTGTTTTCCTCGCAGGGTGCGTGCTAGCAGGAAGCTAGAACAGGGAAGCAGAGGTGGGGCCTGAACCAGGCACTCGGGAGGCAGATGTCCCAAGCTATGACTTCACCACCGTGCCAGAGGCTCGCCCCTCTGAAATTGCAAGCAGCCAAATATTTTCTCAAAGGTGGAAGATGTGGGTACCAACTTCCTGCTCGAGAATACTGTGAAGGGCTCAAACTACTGCACAGATGCTTTATATATTTTAACGTAAATCAGTCTTCCCTGAATCAGATCACTTGGAAGGGGAGGGAGGACCAAGCTAAGGGAAGGGAGTAAAATGCTGTTCAGACTGCTGGTTCGTGAGAAGAGATAACTGATCCAAGTCGACACTGTAAATTATGTTTTATATTCCTATAAATGAATACTTCGTTGATGTCCATTTTTAAAATTCTGACCCTGAGAAAGTTTTCTTTGGAAATTTATTCACAGAATGATGCTAGAAAATCCAACTGGAAAGATGCATTTATGAAACTAGTCATACTTATCAGGTGAAAAATTGGGTTTTGACTACACATCTACCTTCTGAAACAGTCAGGTCACTTAATTTCAAGCCTGTCCTTTTATTTACCAAGTAACAGCATAATCATTATAAACCATTCAGGACAGAAATGAGTATTTTTATCTATAATCTGCTTAGTTTTAGAGGCTAAAATACCTGTTTCCTTACAAAGTAGGTCACATAAGGAAAATTTACCCTAAAGATGGTTAAGCACAAAACACTAAAAAAATGTTTAGCACTGCTGAGGAAAAACATTTAGATAAATCACTGTAGATAGAGGAAAAATTGGAAAGATGGCATTAACAGAGATTTTGCCACAGCTAAAACCGGGTGCAAATAAGCGGACAATTCCACAATAAGGCGTTTCCCAGTGTCCTGTCACGAACACTTACCACCTTTAGAACCCAGCAGGAATCGAGGATTAGATCAGCCGCTTCTTTGATATGTAGAATTAGAGAATTTTAAGCATTTCAGTTGAAATTTTGTTTTTGAAGAGGCGGCCAGAACCAAAAGACATACCTTGAAATTACTTGAATAACTGAGTAACAGCACAAAATTTTATGTGTTTCTATTACTGCCTGTTAGAGGCAGAAGAATCAACACCAACCTCCTGTATTTAATGCACATACAAGCCACGTGAGCACCGTGCAACACTAAGGCCCCCATCAAGAGTACCAGGTGAGTACTGTGCAACACTAAGGGCCCCCATCAAGAGTACTAGGTGAGTACTGTGCAACACTAAGGGCCCTCATCAAGAGTACCAGGTGAGTACTGTGCAACACTAAGGTCCCCATCAAGAGTACTAGGTGAGTACTGTGCAACACTAAGGTCCCCATCAAGAGTACTAGGTGAGTACTGTGCAACACTAAGGGCCCCCATCAAGAGTACTAGGTGAGTACTGTGCAACACTAAGGCCCTCATCAAGAGTACCAGGTGAGTACCGTGTGACACTAAGGGCCCCCATCAAGAGTACTAGGTGAGTACTGTGCAACACTAAGGGCCCTCATCAAGAGTACCAGGTGAGTACCGTGTGACACTAAGGCCCCCATCAAGAGTACCAGGTGAGTACTGTGCAACACTAAGGGCCCCCATCAAGAGTACTAGGTGAGTACCGTGCAACACTAAGGGCCCTCATCAAGAGTACCAGGTGAGTACCGCACAACACTAAGGGCCCCCATCAAGAGTACTAGGTGAGTACTGTGCAACACTAAGGGCCCCCATCAAGAGTACTAGGTGAGTACTGTGCAACACTAAGGTCCCCATCAAGAGTACTAGGTGAGTACCGTGTGACACTAAGGGCCCCCATCAAGAGTACTAGGTGAGTACTGTGCAACACTAAGGGCCCCCATCAAGAGTACCAGGTGAGTACCGTGCAACACTAAGGGCCCCCATCAAGAGTACTAGGTGAGTAACGTGCCATCAAGAGTACTATGTGAGTGCCGTGCGGCAGTAAGAGCCCTCATCAAGAGTACTAGGTGAGTACCGTAGGACAGTAACGGCCCCTGTCAAGAGTACTAGGTGAGTACCATCTGACAGTAAGGGCCCCATCAAGAGTGTTGTGCACACGAACTCCAAGAAAGCGGGGAGCGCCCAGTGGACAGGCCCAACAACAACGGCAGTGCACTACTGACCACTTGGCTGTTCCCTACGCCTTCCTGGTCAGCCGGGATGGAAGCGAGGGTCTAGCTCTTGTGCTGTTTTTCCACTTTCCTGAGCGAGGTAAAGAAGCCTGGCTGCACTTCAACTTCACATCACTCCAGCAGTCGACCCCTCTACCTACAGGAGCACGACCACTGGAATCAACCCCTCTACCTACAGGAGCACGACCACTGGAATCAACCCCTCTACCTACAGAACACGGCCGCTGGAATTGACCCCTCTACCTACAGAACACGGCCGCTGGAACCGACCCCTCTACCTACAGGAACATGACCACTGGAACCGACCCCTCTACCTACAGGAACACAACCACTGGAATCGACCCCTCTACCTACAGAACACGGCTGCTGGAACCGACCCCTCTACCTACAGGAACACGACCCCTGGAATCGACCCCTCTACCTACAGGAACACGACCGCTGGAACCGACCCCTCTACCTACAGGAACACAACCACTGGAATCGACCCCTCTACCTACAGGAACACGGCCGCTGGAACCGACCCCTCTACCTACAGGAACATGACCACTGGAATCGACCCCTCTACCTACAGAACACGGCCGCTGGAATTGACCCCTCTACCTACAGGAACACGGCCGCTGGAACCGACCCCTCTACCTACAGGAACACGACCACTGGAATCGACCCCTCTACCTACAGGAGCACGACCACTGGAACCGACCCCTCTACCTACAGGAACATGACCACTGGAATCAACCCCTCTACCTACAGGAACACGACCACTGGAATCGCTGCCCGCAGGACATTTGCTCTGTTGGTTTTTGTTAACAGTGACAGACTTGGGCATTTTTCACCATAAAAACACAGTCCCCCTTGATCTAACATCCCCTTTTGTCATCTGTGACTTTGAAGGTTTTCCTTTGTGGCAAGTTGTCATCAAGATCAGTAACTGAGGTTTCATTTATACCAAACCTGAACTGACACCCAACTATTTAATTCCAATGCTGGTAACAGGAGGGGCCTTCTTCCTCCGAACACGGCGGAAGAGCTAGACCCTGAAATGCGATTCCTGCCCGAACGGCCACACCCTCCCTCACAGGTGCTTCATCACTTCAGGGATAGTGTGTGACTAGCTATACGACACGTGGATAGGGGTGTTGACAACATCTAAAAGCAGATGACTGCTTCCCACCTGGTTTGGAATAATAATCAGAAATGAAAACATTAAAGTTGGGTTCAAATTCTTGAATAGTCTGGTAAAATACAGCTTTAAGCACATTTTTACCTTTATTCCAAAGACTAAAACATCACAGATTTCGCAAGACATGCTTCACGAATGAACGCGAATATGGCCTTGCTAATGCAGCAGGAGCAGCCACTACATTCCTTTTTGAGGGTATGCAAACAGTAGACGGCTATACCACTAATACCTGCACCGAGCTGAAAGACTTTACACTATGGAGAATGATGACTAAGTGCTTTGCTTGTGTTTCCACGGAAAGCAAGTAGTTTCCAACACATTTAAATCTGCATCTCTGGGGAGCTGCTTCTCTCCGTCCTTGCCAGACTGCTGTCTACGATCAATGCAGATTCCACTAACAGTCTCCGACGACTGCCGTGTGCCTTCCGACGTCTGCTTGGCTTATTCAACGCTCTCAGAAAACCATCCCAAACGACCACATATTCCAAGCTCAGAAAGAGTTTCATCATGTATGTTGTGTTCACCGCCATGGTTTACTTAAATGTCTTATGGTACATGCTTGTGACCACTGTTTCTTTTTTCTTTTCTTTTTTTTTTTTTTTTTTTGACAGGCAGAGTGGACAGTGAGAGAGACAGAGAGAAAGGTCTTCCTTTACCGTTGGTTCACCCTCCAATGGCCACCGCGCTGATCCGAAGGCAGGAGCCAGGTGCTTCTCCTGGTCTCCCATGGGGTGCAGGGCCCAAGCACTTGGGCCATCCTCCACTGCACTCCCGGGCCACAGCAGAGAGCTGGCCTGGAAGAGGGGCAACCGGGACAGAATCCGGCGCCCCGACCGGGACTAGAACCCGGGGTGCTGGCGCCGCAAGGCGGAGGATTAGCCTAGTGAGCCGCGGCGCCGGCCCTGACCACTGTTTCTTTTTCTCACCTTTCAGCCAGCTGAGTTATATCTGTGATTACTTACGATTTACAGAAACTATGTAATACAGATCTGGAAGTCTAGCTGCTGTGTTGGGTTTCTTCAAGAATTACATGAAAGGCACACAGTTTGTGAAAATGAACTTCATATGCAGCCTAAAAACGTTAGCCTTCTAGGAATAAAGTTACATTATTCCTTAAAATTATTCTTTCACTTATTCTTGTAAAAGTGAATAAAGAAATTCAAGAAGAAAAACTTGATTTAGATTCTATTTACTGATGCTACTTAAAACCATATTCAGAGAGGATGTAAAAGTGCTAAATGATATTCTGGATTTGTAACACAACCAGAAGCATCTCTTTAAAACTTTTAGCAATTGAGAACCATATGACACATTCTATAAAATCTGGACATAATTTATATAGTTCGGCTCTTGGGTTTTATCTGGATAAGATGTAATTAAATAAGCGTCAGTTCCAGGCCGGCACTGAGCATAGCGCGTAAGGCCTCTGCCTGCAGTGCCAGCATCCCATATGGGCACCGGTTTGAGTCCTGGCTGCTCCACTTCCAATCCAGCTCTCTGCTGTGGCCTGGGAAAGCAGTAGAAAATGGATGGAAGACCCAGAAGAAGCTCCTGGCTCCTGGCTTCTGATTGGCTCAGCTCCACCTGTTGTAGCCATTTGGGGTGTGAGCCAGCAGATGAAGACTTCTCTCTCTTTCTCTCTCTCTCTCTCTCCCCTTCTCTCTCTGTGTAACTCCGACTTTCAAATACATAAATAAATCTTTTAAAAAAAAGTGTCGGTTTATCTTTTATCTGCGTTCAAGTCTTCACTTCTAATTTATTAAGACATGTGATGTTAGTATTTTGATGTATAATTTAACAAACTGCCAGATTGTATAATTTCTGAACTTAGTTCAAAAAAACACAATGTATCAAATGTAATAAATGAATAGTATTGCCTTTTATGTGTCCAATATTTAAGAGGACATAGATACGTAAGATCTCTCTCATGCTCAAGGCTCTCTACCCAGACTGCAGGAAGAGAGTCTAATGTGTAAAACTGTTAACCAGTCACCTGCCTTCCCTCACTGCACACCTCCTGTGCGTCAAGCATTCCAATGGACCTGTGACTCAAGGAGGAATAAGACGGCTCTTGTTCTCCAAAAGCTGCAGGCTCATGAACTAGAACAACTTTCATTTCTCCCTATTCCCTCACACTCAAAGCTAAACTGGGAACAAGCCCTCATTTCTTCCAACACAGCCTCTCTGTAGATTCTTTCCAGCTCTCACTACCATGACCTCAGACAAAAGCACTAGCCACAGAACTAGGCCAAGGCCAAGGCAGGCACCCTCTCTCTGTGTGTCAGGTGCTCCTTCTCCATGTTCTACCCTACGGAAGGATGAGTGACGGGTGAGCACACCTGGGGGCTGTCCAGCTCCTGTGAGGCAGCCACACCGTCATGGGCCCTTCTCTTCTCCCTAATCTCTTCTTAACAGAAATTATAGGACTATCCATTTTATGATTTTCTTACCCCTCCACTTCAGCTTAAACACCGCGAGAACAGAGGCCTTCCCTTGTTTGTGGATGCATCCACACGGGTGGCGCACCTACGCATCGCAGGAGTGTAAAGGGAAACGGGACGAGAGGCTGCTGAAGTTGCCACAGACACAGCACTTTATGTGTCCAGTACGTCCAGCTCTTCTCTGCAGCTGCCAGAGCACCCACGGATCGCTGCCTCGGCCACACCCACGCTGCTCCTCCTCACACCCGTGGGGACAACCGTTTTCATCTCTCTATCGGCACAAAGACATCCTGGTGAATGATCACGAACAAAGGAGTCCTCAAACGGACATACGCGTGCTTAAGTGCCAGAGAGGCTGGCACCGTGGCTCAATAGGCTAATCCTCCGCCTAGCGGCGCCGGCACTCCAGGTTCTAGTCCCGGTCAGGGCGCCGGATTCTGTCCCGGTTGCCCCTCTTCCAGGCCAGCTCTCTGCTGTGGCCCGGGAGTGCAGTGGAGGATGGCCCAAGTGCTTGGGCCCTGCACCCCATGGGAGACCAGGAGAAGCACCTGGCTCCTGCCTTCGGGTCCGTGCAGTGCGCCGGCCGCAGCAGCCATTGGAGGGTGAACCAACGGCAAAAGGAAGACCTTTCTCTCTCTCTCTCTCTCTCTGTCCATTCTGCCTGTCAAAAAAAAAAAAAAAAAAAGTGCCAGAGAGAGCTGGCCACGCTTAGAGGGACCACTGACTGCTTGGGAACGTGATCTCGTGCTAATCTGACACCACAACTGGTTCAACAATTCCCCACTCGTGTCATTATACGTGTAGACACACACACACATACTCCACAAAGGGAACCACGCCTCCCAGGTGCCCCAGCCTCCAAGGTTGAGAATCAGATTTACAGTAGACATACTTCTGATATTTTAAAACAATTTTTAATACTTTTTAGGGGTTTTTTAGTTTAAGTTTTTAACATATTCAATGTCATAGATTTAATTCTAAGAATATAATGATATTACTTTATTCTCTCCCTCTTACCCCTCTCCCTTTGACCCCTACTTTTGACTAAAATTCAGAAGCTAGTTTTGAACCATCCATGGTCTACAAACATATTTTGCAACAAACCTTGGAAGCTATGCTGCTGCTCTTAAGAAATTACTTGTCCCAAGCCCCTCTAAATGTTGCTGAGGGGGCTGGCATTGTGGGGTAACAGGTAAAGCTGCGACTTGTGGCAACAGCATCCCATACGTGTGCTGGTTTGAATCCCTGCTGCTCCACTTCCCATCCAGCTCCCTGCTGATGGGCCTGGGAAGCCAGCAGGAGATGGCCCAAGTACTTGGGTCTCTGTACCCACATGGCAGACCTAGAAAAAGCTCCTGGCTCCAGTCTGGCCCCGCCCTGGTCAATGCAGCCACTTGGGGAGTAGGCCAGTGAGTGGAAGATCTCTCTATCTCTCCCACTCTCTCTGTAACTCTTTCAAATAAATAAAATTAACCTTTAAACAAACAAAAAAAATGTTTTCAAGGTATTGAACCCTTACATGCAAAGCTGAAAACTTTAATTATTTTAAAGTATTTATTTATTGGAAACTTGCAAAGAGAGTTACAGTTACAGAGAGAGAGAGACAGAGAGTGAGCGAGATCAAGAGTGAGACAGAAATCTTCCATCTGCTGGTTCACTCCCCATATAGCTGCAATAGCCAAGGCTGGGCCAGGCCAAAGCCAGTAGCTTCCTCCAGGTATCCCATGTGGGTCCCTGCGCCATGTGGGATCTGTGCCATCCTCTGCTGCTTCTCCAAGAGCATTAGCAGGGAACTGGATTAGAAGTGGAGTAGCTGGGATTCAAACCAGCGCCCATACGGGATGCCAGTACTACAGGCAGTGGCTTTACTTGCTACATCACAGCTCCCATAAAGCTGAAAACTCTAAGGACAAGTGTCCCAGGTCTTTTCTGATGCTACAGTGGTTCAAGAAACACAAAACTTAGCTCTAACGCAAACTAAAACCTTTAGCCAGCTACTTTGCTAAGTACACAGACTGGATTCTTAGCTCTATTACTACATCAACAGCCTAAAGAGCCAGAAAAAAATATAATGTATGAGTTTATATATTTATTAAATAGCCCAAATCTAAATTTTTTTGATAATTTTGCTTTGCAAATGTAAACTACCCGTTACATAATCAAGAATACCATGATTACACATACACACCAGCACACACACTAAACCATTTGAGGATATTTGTCAATATAAATAACCATGATGACTTAAGCTAAACACACAGTATGTTCTCGAATTAATGCTTATAGACTCAATACTCACCAGTGACTTTCACTACACATTTTTAAAAATTCATAATCTATTCTGAGGCAAGATAATGATGGTTCTTTTAAAACTTCATGGAGGGGCTGGCGCTGTGGCATAGGTTAAGCCTCTGCCTGAAGCGTCTGCACCCCATATGGGCACCAGTTCCAGTCCTGGCTGCTCCTCTTCTGATCCAGCTCTCTGCTGTTGGCCTGGGGAAGCAGTGGAGGATGGCCCAAGTGCTTGGGCCCCTGGACCCATGTGGGAGACCTGAAGGAAGCTCCGGCCACTTGGGAGATGAACCAGGGGATGTGAAGACCTGTCTGTCTCTTCCCACTCTCTGTAACTCTACCTCTCAAATAAATAAATCTAAAAAAAAAAAAAAAAACCACTTCATGGAATTAAAAGTTTATTTTGCTACAAGAAATTGAAAATTTCGTGCATTTTTTAGTAATATGCTATTTTCAACAAACTTTTTGAAGATTTCTTATATGCATGGATCTCAAATTTTTTCATTTAATTCCATTTTCCACAAACTTTTTTAAGGTCCCTTGTACCGAATCAGTCTTGTTACGTGTTCATTATCTTCCTGGAGTTTGGTCTCCATTTCTTCTTTTTTTTTTTTTTAATTTACAAATGGTCACCTTGGCTGGAGCTACGCGGATCCTGAAGCCAGGAGCCAAGTGCTTCCTCCTGGTCTCCCACACGGGTGCAGGAGCCCCAGCATCCGGGCCATCCTCCAGTGCCCTCCTGGGCCACAGCAGAGAGCTGGACTGGAAGAGGAGCAACCAGGACCAGAACCAGCGCCCATATGGGATGCCGGTGCCACAGGCGGAAGATCAACCAAGTGAGCCACGGCGCTGACCCCTCCATTTCTTTAAAACAGATTAGGGAACATCCGAGGCAGGGAAGCCAAAAATTCATGTCAAGCTCTAATTCTGTTCCTAGAATTTACAAAAATTCCTGAACTTTCTTCTTTACCTTTTTTTCCCTCCTGAAACAATGGGAAATTTTATTTGTACTATTTTTGAGGCAATTATGAAATCAAGAGATAAAACTACTACAAATTATAACAACATAAGATTAAATATAAACCTGACTAGGCCCTTAATGAGCAGATTTCCATATAAACCACATCTAATTTTTGGAAGTACTAAAGGTATTACACACAGTCTAACACTCAGAGTTCTGAAGTGTTATTGGCAATAAACTGATTATTACAAGATGATCTCTTGAGGAAGAAAATTGTAATAACCACAAAGAGTATTTTTTCTTCAGTGTCACTGAAGTTCAAGGAATTCAATGTCTGGGGTATTCTTCCCTGGCATTGCTGGGTATAATGCTTTTTAGTCTAGACTTAGATTAGATTATCTGAGTCACAGATGAGATACTCAGCACTACTTGAAGTATTTCATGTCTACACTATTACTTCCAGGTAGGACAGCACAGCTCTGAGTAAGGGCCTGCATCTTGCTTTCCCAGAGAACAGTATTTTGGACACCAGTTTCCATCGACTGTAACTGCACTTTATTTCAAAGAAAGTTACAGGGTGCAGTAAGTTTGTTTCAGTTTACGGGTTATGATTCAATACTGCTTTATAAATCATTCCTGAGAATAGAGATTCAATTAAATACACTGTTGGAGTTATTAATCTAGTCTAGTTTCAATCCGTAAGTCCAGTTATAAGACAGTATAACTTTATCACATTATAATAATCTACTCCAGCATATTATCAATTACACTATCCCCAGTGCTAGTGCTCTAATTAAGTGATAACGAGTGGATTGCACATTTGAATTCATAGTGCCATCTGGAAGGAACTCAAATAATTTTAATTATGTATGCCTATAATGCAAAAGCATAGCATATTACTTCTTCCTAATGTCCTAAAGACAGAGCTGGCTAATTTGCCTTCAGTATGTGTTATTTTGTAGCATAACATCATTATCATTTTTTAAATTACAAACTCAGTACTAAATCTCATGCCAGCCGTAACAGATGAGAGGACATCTCATTCATTCGCTGGCCTAAGGCAGGATGACCTGAAGACAAGCAAGCGACAGGTCCCTCTAAGCCATTTCCCACCTATCCCTGTTTTACTCAGTAGACCCGAAAACCATTGCTCAGAGAGGTGAGGTCACTTGTCAAAGCGAATACTGCAGGTGCATGGCTAAAGGCTGCCAAGAATAATTCCTTTACTTCTGAGGGGGAGGTCATGGTTAAAAAGGGGAGGGGCTTATTCATTCTCTCAAATCCTGTTTGAGATGCATTCTATAAACTGCTCCCAGAATAAACAGGAGCTGATATAAGAAAGCCCTTCTAAGACTTAAATACGAGAAAAGCAAAACTGCTAAGGTAACCACTAATCCTATCGCATTCCTTTTTTTCCTTTTTGTAAGATTTGATTTATTTATTTGAAAGTCAGAATTACAGAGAGAGGTAGAGACAGAGAGAGAGGTCTTCCATATGCCGGTTCAATCCCCAGATGGCCCCAACGGCCAGGGCTGTGCCAATCTGAAGCCAGGAGCTTCTTCCAGGTTCTCACGTGGGTGCAGGGGCTCAAGGACTTGAGTCATCTTCTAATGCTTTCCCAGGCTATAGCAGAGAGCTGGATCGGAAGAGGAGCAGCCGGCACTAGAACCGGTGCCCAAACAGGATGCCAGGGCTTCAGGCCAGGGCTTTAACCCGCTGTGCCACAGTGCCGGCCCCTGCATTTCTTGGTTCTCTCTGATCACAGATTGCTTTACTAACTTCAGTATTTTCTCTCTAGGAGATTGGCCAGAAGAGCACACAAAGTGTACTAGATGCTATTGTAAATAAAGAAAGCACACTTCCTCTGGATATTTTATTCAGAAAATAACTTCTTAGAACAAATTTTCATTTTTAGTGTACAAACAGGCAATGGAGACCATGGAAATGAGGTGCCGCATTATTGTAAAGAGCTTGAGTTTTATTTCATGATTATCATCGATCTAACTCTTTACATACTTTTTCATCATGACATAAGAATTTCCATAACATTATTCTTGCTATAGCATTCAAATATATGTGTGTTGGGATGGATGTGGATGAAGACTACTACACTGTGGACCAATTTGTATCACTCAGGTCATTAAAAAATGCTCATGTTAATATACACATAAAATGCTTCAGTGAGGGAAAACCATCACACTGTGACACAGGAACAATTACAGGGACAAACTGAGGGCCAGTGACTGGTCTTCTCTATAGTTCCTAATCCCACACCAGGTTAACACGTGAACAAACTGAACACTGAGTGAGTGGGCCGTGCCGTGTCTGACCCCGGGAGCAGCAGGGTCCCTGGAGAAGCATGTGAGCCATCAAGAGCCCACATGCTGTGTGCAAAGCGAGGCACACATGGTACCTCACACACTGTGACCACCTCCAGGCTGTGACTGAGAGAAACAGGTTGGCTGATGTAGGTGAATCCAAAAACATTATACAATTAATTCCCAAAACAGGATAAAAAGATTAAACCACACAAATGAAGCAAAATTCTGCAGGCAACTAAGAGATTCCCACGTCTCAGTTAACTCACTTGGGTATTTTTTCCCTTACTTACTAGTGATACGAAGCATGTTTATCCAATCTCTTTCTACTGCAATCCTACTTTTAATGAAAATATTGCTAGCACTTCACCTGTACTTAATAACTGAGTCTTCATTTTCCCTCCCTTTAATTTGTACCTATTTCATTGTGCTGTTCATTTCTACCATTAGAATTTGGTAAACTGCATATTACTTTTGATCTAAGAAGTATGAATAATTAACTCCCAGCCAAATAAAAGGGGAAACCAGGCAGTTTTACTTCAGTTTTTCTTTAATTATAAATTATATAAAATTTCTCAGACAAAAAATCAATTTAACATTCAACAAATTACTCTTCATATAAGAATCTCACAGATAAAAAATACAATTTCCTTGTCTTCACTTAAAATGTTACCTACTAATCATGCTTAACTTGTAAATATTAAAATAAAATCTTATGACTATAAAAACTATCAACAAGGAAACAGGCAAGAATCATTATTTCTCATTTTTTGTTAGGAACACTTAACACGTGCCTCACAACATCCCTGTGAGGTAGGGAGTTACGTGTCCACATGGGACAACAAACTAAGCTGGGTAAGGCATGAGTATCAGACTGTAGGACAAAAAACAACTACACAAAGGTAATGGCATCACTGAACTGGTTCAACTTAGCAGTTCCGGAAACTTCGTTTGCTAATTCCGACCTTCTTGCTCAGGAATAACACCTTTTTTGATTCTTAACAGACAGAAGTTTTCCCCATCGGAGGCTTTTTAGTCTTCTGAAAATCAGTAGATATAATGGCAAGATGGCCGAGGAACAAAACCCCAGAGGCCAGCCAAGTGCCTGCCTCTTCCTCTAGGTGGAGGCAGTGCTGCCCGGCACACACAGGAGTCCAGGCCGCGAGCGAGCGTCCTCTTCAAAGGTCCTACTTCTCTACACTCTCCAGGTTAGAAATGGGATCCGTCTGCTCCGACTGCCGTGTTCCTGCCGCCTCAGTTTCTTTCAGCCAGGGACTAATCGCACCTGTTCAATTCGGATAAACTGCAGATTCTTTTCTTCCAAGGGATACAGTAACTCCAACGCGTTCCAGAATTAAGGGTGATCATAGAAGTCATCCACCAAGAAAAATCAGCCATTTTTCACAGTAGAAAAAAAAAATCTAACTCACAGAGAACTGATCTTTCCTGACTTTCAAAAAATAAAGCAATCCAATAGGTATCAGGATGTAAAGCATCCAGCCTTTTCGTTAAAAATGTTCACAATTTTTCTTCTTTTTAAAAAATGCTTACTTATTTATTTTCATCTGCTTGAATGGCAGACAGAGAGCAAGCGAGCGATTTTCCACCCACCGGTTCATGCCTACAATAGCCAAGACTCAGCCAGGAGCCGGGAACTCCGTTCACATCTCCCACGTGGGAGCAGGGGCTCAAGTACTTGCACTATTGCCTGCTGCTCCCCGGGACGCACGAGCAGGGAGCTGGTGGATCAGAAGCAGAGGCGCCAGCACTCCATACGGGACGAGGGTTTCTCAGGCACAGCTTAGTCTGTGCACAACACCTGCCCCAGAGCATTTTTAAAGAGTGGTAATCGGGTATAAGGAAGAGAATCTTCTCATGTATATTATGTTCTTTATTACTGAGATTAATTCTATGAAAATTCCAAATGTGATAATACAAGGGGTGTTATGAAAACACATCCTATGAAAAAAACATGCACAGACTTCGAAAAAATCTTGGCTTCAAGTAAACTCATCCTAACTTGCTACAGCGTGTATGAACAGGTTCTAGTTTAAGGCACTACAGGGTAAGAAATCAGTTTGAGAAGAGCCCCTGTCAGAGTGAACGTGAACTCTGCCAACACTGAAGCTACAACAAGCATCAAATTTATGGTTATTCTTGGGCAGAAAAATGGTGAAACCACCGATTCATTTCAACACCCACAACCCTGCAGGAAATCGGCGCTTTACAAAATGGAGCTAATTTGAAGAAGGAAGGGGATGCCCCAGCCATGAGCCCATTCACATCCTTTTGTGAGTAAAAAGCCCGTCCTGTCTGTGCCCTGAGGGCTCTGATGCCTCACAGCGCAATCAGCCAACACCAGACGCTTCCACTGGGGCAGCTCACACAATCCGACTGCAGAAGCGAAACAGAGCAAACAGCCTCCCTGGCAGACGCCAAAGCTGTTGTGCCCAGAGCAGAGCGTCCAAGGGGTGAAATTTTAAATGTGTGGACCAAAATCCGGAAGCATCTTCAAAGAGAGGCACGGGATGCAACACGGCATTGCCAGACCATCCTGAAGGCAAAGCACAAGCAAAGCAACGGCGGCGAGAGGTGGAGGTCGAGGCAATGGTTTTGGGTCCTTTGCCGACTTCCTTGAGGGCCAAGGAATGAGACCTGCTGACTAGGAGAATATGCTGAGAAAGCCAGCCTAAACTTGAGCAGGAAAAACCACCAGGCAAGCTGCACCTGCAAGCCCCCCTCCCAGCACCAACGCTCCCGCTCAGCAAGGACGCCCTTCTAAGACTCTCCATGGGAGGCTGTTCCGCTCCCACCTCACAGATTTGATTAACTCCTTCCAACCCCTTAAATCTTCAAAGGGCACACATTTTCCTTCTGTTAATAATGTAAAAATGCACTGAATCTGTTCAATTCCCAGGGAGGGACGTAAATGGCCTGCATTATTTATCAAAGTGGCTCAGACTTCACGGGCCTTATACTGATAAGTAAGGCTTATGTTTTTCACTTTCATCTTTCATCCTGTTTTTCCTTGAACTTTCGGAAGCACCTCACACATCCGGCACTAGTTCTCGATATCCAGTAGGGCGTGTGGGTTGCAGCAGTGCTAAGATCAAGCATGGTTAAAGGTAATCTCCCTTCCTCGCTATCAAACCACTTTCTGACCGTATGGAATAATGACAGAATGGATTACCCACATCCTTTAAAGGAAGGTTAGGAACTAGGACTACTACATGGTAGCAGTATTACTGGACTCACGTAACATCCTGTGTCACAAATTACTAACATCTACTCTTCTTGTCTCTAGAGGAAAAAGAAATCTATTATTTCGCAAAATCAGAGACAACTAGGTGGTCTCTAGCAGTAACGTAGTTTGTTATGAAGCTCACCCTAGAATTATCCAGTTATCAAACAGTATTAAGCTACAGGACTGAATATGCTTTAAGACACACGTGTTAACTCTGAATTCCATTCACCTCATGGTATAATCGCCAGCACAGCTCTGAAGTAACGCTTTCCTCATAACTGCATTTACGTTTCATACTGTTATGGAGAATTTTTATTGTTGAAAATTAAAAATTAAGGGCCAGCGCTATGGCGCAGCAGGTTAACACCCTGGCCTGAAGCGCCAGCATCCCATATGGGCACCGGTTCAAGACCCAGCTGCTCCACTTCCTGTCTAGCTCTCTGCTATGGCCTGAGAAAGCATTAGAAGATGGCCCAAACCCTTGGGCCCCTGCACCCACGTGGGAGACCAGGAAGAAGCTCCTGGCTCCTGGCTTGGGATCGGCGCATCTCCGGCCACTGTGGCCATTTGGTGAGTGAACCATCGGATTGAAGACCTCTCTCTCTCTCTCTCTGTAACTCTGACTTTCAAATAAATAAATAAATCTTAAAAAAAAAATTAAAAAAATAAAACCCTGCAGTGTTTCCGGTAAAATCTGACTTAGTGATTTTATTTTCTACTTTGTACAGGCAGTCTTTGAAATATCCTGCAATGTAAGTGTAACATTCCTATACAGATTGCAGGCTAAGATACAGCAATGCTGAACACTTACTATGGGCATCCAGAAACACAACTCTCCTATGAAAAACTAGGTAGACCACTGCTGACATAAAACAAGATCACAGAACTAATGATTTTAAATAACTATCAACTGACATTTCTATAATAAGCAAAAATGCCTAGAGTAATAATTACACTAAAACTCAGCTACTTGAAAAAACTTTTAGTAAGTGCATTCTGAAAATAAGAAATGTTTTATGTTATTAGGATAATGCTATTAGTTATCTTTTTTAAAAGATTTCTTTTATTTGAAAGGCAGAGTTACAGAGAGGCAGAGAGAGACAGATCGATTGATCTTCCACCTGCTGGTTCACTCCCCAAATGGCCACAACAGCCAGAGCTGGGTCAATCCGAAGCCAGGAGCTTCTTCTGTATCTCCCAAGATGGTGCAGGGGCCCAAGGACTTGGGTCACCTTCTACTGCTCTCCCAGGCCATAGCAGAGAGCTGGATCAGAAGTGGAACAGCCAGGACTTAAACTGGCGTCCATACAGGACGCCGGCACTGCATGCAGCAGCCCTGCTGGTATCTATCGTGTGTGTGTAGGTAACTTTATTTGACAGGCAGAGGGACAGAGAGAGAGAGAAAGATTTCCTGAATTCCTGTGACAGCCTGAGCTGGGCAGACTGAAACCAGGAGCCACGTCTCCCACACAGGTAGCAGGAACTCAGGCGCATGTCACCTGTGCCTCTGAGGGTCTGCATTAGCAGGAAGCTGGAATTAGATCTGGTGCTGGGTATTAAACCCAAGTACTCAGTGAGGGATGTGGTGACTTTCCCCTCCACCACACGATAAACGTACTTCACTCATAACTTACAGGCAATCGGTGGCAAGTGAAGTACGCACATACATTATTATCATAAAATGCATCTGGAACAGAGTAAAAACAGAAACTATAAACAGAGAATTTCAGCAAGAAACATTAATCAGCACAATTCTATATCTAGATTTCATAAATGAGGATCGACATCTTCCCTGAGTCTTTTTTAATTTAAAAAAAAAAAAAACTGAGAATTACAGGTCACTTAAACCTTGCCAACGATAGCTAAAAAATCTTGTAATTTGAAATACAGGGTTTTATAAAAACACTGTCTTCAGAATGGATTTTTAAAATTTATATTAAAAATTCACCTTTATGTAATTTTCAATTAATAAAGCAAGTAGTCATGTGTGAATGTATAAAAACATAATCACAACATCTAACAAATACATTGTAGAGACATGGCATCTTGGGGAAGGCACTGCAGTGTAGCAGGTAAAGCCATCACCTGCAGTGCCAGGATTCTGTATGGGTGCCAGTTCAAATCCCGGCTGCTCCACTTCAGATCCAGTTCTCTGCTAATGTGCCTGGGAAAGCATGGAAGATGGCCCTGTACCTACGTGGGAGACCCAGAAGAAGCTCCTGGCTTCGGATCAGCTCGGCTCCGGCCTCTGTGGCCATTCAGGAGTGAACCAGCGGATGGAAGAGACCTTTCTCTTTCTCTCTCTCTGCCTCTCTGTAACTCTCCTTTTCAAATAAATAAATCTTTTTTAAAATGGCATCAATATTTTATTACTTAAAAGGTGATCATTTAGTAACAAACGATTCCATTCTTAAGAACATGATCACTTTCTGATTAGTTGAAATGTTTGCTTTTAAATATTATATGTACTAAAAACCAAATATTTAAAGAACCTATATCTTCCATTTTGCATGTCTCTGATCTTGCCTCCCTCATTTGTCTTCACTACCTTTTTTCAATTCAACAGTGTACATGTTTTGCCATTTTTAAATCAGACACTTTTTTTAAAGTAAATTTTTTATGAACATAAAGAGAACAGATTTCAGGTATTTCATAGGTACAGGTCTAAGAAGATAACCATACTTTCTCCCTCTCCATCCCCCACCTTCCTTCCTTTTTTCTCTTTATTTTTGCAAAGACATACTTTTAATCCACTCTATAATCACAGGCTTAAAACACCACTAACCATAATACTCAACAAGTAAAAAGCAGTGAGACCACAGTTCAACAGCAGTATAAACAGGGCTTAAAACAACCACCATGGGGCTGGTGCTGCGGCATAGCTTGCATGGTCACTGGTTCAAGTCCCAGCTGCTCCACTTCCGATCCCGCTCTCTGCTATGGCCTGGGAAAGCAGAAGATGGGCCAAGTGCTGGGGCCCCTGCACCCACCTGGGAGACCCGGAAGAAGCTCCTCGCTTTGGATCGGCATAGCTCCGGCTGTTGCGGCCAATTGGGGAGTGAACCAGCGGATGGAAGACCTCTCTCTCTCTCTCTGCCTCTGCCTCTCTGTAACTCTGCCTTTCAAATAAATAAATAAATCTTTAAAAAATCATTTCACAAAATGTCTGTTTCATTCCTATACAGTTTATTGTACTTTGTATTAACTGGCCATATATCAGAGAAAACATATGGTATTTGTCTTTTGGGGACTGGCTTATTTCACTAAGCATAAGGGCTTCCAGTTATATCCATTTTGGTGCAAAAGCCAGGATATTATTTCTTTATGGCTGAGTAGTATTCCACAGTGTGTATATACCACATTTTCTTCATCCAGTCATCAGTCGATAAGACATTTGGGGTGAATTCATATCTTAGCTATTTTGAACAGGTAACTCTTTCATATGCTGATTTAATTTCATTTGGTAAAATTCCCAGGAGTGGGATGGCTGGGTCACAGGGTAGATCTATTTTCAGATTTCTGGGGAATCCCGCAATGGTTGTACTAGCTTACATTCCCACCAACAGTATATTAGGGTACCTTTTTCTGGGTTGTGGGTGTCTTAACCGGTATCTTAAAAGGCAGGTCAAACATACCTGTCCCTGGCGTATTTCTTAAAGGTACAATTACTTTTGTATGTCTTCTTTAAAAAAAAAAAGGCATAATTTTATTATGCTTTTAAATAAAAAGGAAAAACAAACGATACTTCTTAAAAAATCAGACAGTAGACGTATTGAGCCTCTATAAGGGATGTTTCACATACTGTCAGGGTTTCGGATTTTTACACAGGAAACTCGAGGCTGTGATGAACCACACACCAGCGACGAGATGGTAAGAATTGTTGCTCTCAGCGCAGCTGCTTTGTCCTTCAACCAACCCGTCAATCAGCGTCAGAGAAACAAAGGGAAGGGAGAGATGCTGCTACACTGTTCTAGGCATCCCAGATCACCTTCTTGTGGGACTATGAGCAGAGGAGGCCACGGAACACCAGGACTAACGACTCACGGTAGAAATAGGGAGAAACTCCTCACCTCAGTAAAAAGCAGAGCTACCACCACGCTCGCTAGTGACGCTGGGCAGCTCACGCTGCGAAGCCAGGACCAGGACGAGGTGCCCACCTTGCCACTTCCACGTGCACACAGCAGGGTAACTGCCCATCCCTGGGATCTGCTTCCCTTAAACTGGAGAGACTGCCTGACAGCTAACGCTCTTCCCCCTCCAAGGTGCTAATTCCAACTTTTAGGCTTTCATTCAGAACAGAGGGTTGAAGATTAACAATTCCGCCAACACAGGATCTATGGTCAAGCTAAACTACACAGTGGGAGAACGTCACGCTGATAGGAAAGGAAAAAGACACGCCTGCGTCACACATCCTGGAAGGCGGCCTCTGGAGCCTCACTACCTCCAACGCGCTCCAGCGAGTGACCCGACAGCCGGTTTTCATTTTAAATGTGAGTCTAGGAGCGCGGCTCGGCCTCGATCTCTGACACATTCTTTTCAAGTTTCTACATCACAGACCAGGGGCGCACCTAGTCTCCTCCCCTCTGTTCGGCCTCATTTTAAGAGAGTCCTCGATGTCTTTCCATAAACTACGCACACCCCACCGTGCCACAATCCGCACCACTCCTTACTGCCGTGCACACCACCGACTCCACACGACTCTGCGGCTCCCCTGGCCTCTGCCCAGATCCACAATCTGCTCCTGGCCCCAGTGCTATGCTGGAGAGAGGAACAGATGGAAGCCAAACCCCAGGCAAATGCATCGTTCTAACTCCTGGAGCAGAGCTGCCGTGTCACACCTCTTCCTGCCAGGGGAAGCCCTGCTGCGTCTGCTAAGAACGAAAAGAGAGGGTGGGAGAGGCATTTTTGAGAACAGGCAAGAAACTACCATTAATCGAGATCAGTGTGCTCACAGCCAATGGCCACAGCTCCACCTCCAGGTCTTGGAAGCAGACACGGCCGCTACCAGGGAGGGACTGGACTCTTTCCCGTGGACAATAATGGGAAGGGACTAACCCCACTCCAAGACAGGCACGTGCAGTCCTTACTTTCACATAAACTTGTGAGTCACCTCTATCACATGAAAACGCCCGCAAAATGCTCAAGCCGGCAAAGCCACTGCCTGCAGTGCTGGCATCCCATGGGGCGCTGGTTCTGATCCAGCTCTCTGCTATGGCCTGCAGTGCTGGCATCCCATGGGGCGCTGGTTCTGATCCAGCTCTCTGCTATGGCCTGGGAGAGCAGTAGAAAATGGCCCAAGTGCTTGGGCCCCTGCGCCCGCACAGGAGACCTGGAAAAAGTCCCAGGCTCCCGGCTTTGGATTGGCACAGCTCCGGCCACTGTGGCCATCTGGGGGAATAAACCAGCAGATGGAAGACCTCTCTCTCTCTCTGCCTCTGACTTTCAAATAAATAAATAAATCTTTTAAAAAATGCTCAAACTTTGGCCGGCACCGTGGCTCACTAGGCTAATCCTCTACCTTGCGGTGCCGGCACACCAGGTTCTAGTCCCGGTCGGGGCGCCGGATTCTGTCCTGGTTGCCCCTCTTCCAGGCCAGCTCTCTGCTGTGGCCCGGGAGTGCAGTGGAGGATGGCCCAAGTGTTTGGGCCCTGCACCCGCATGGGAGCCAAGGAAAAGCACCTGGCTCCTGGCTTCGGATCAGTGCGGTGTGCTGGCCACAGCGGCCATTGGAGGGTGAACCAACGGCAAAGGAAGACCTTTCTCTCTGTCTCTCTCTCACTGTCCACTCTGCCTGTCAAAAAAAAAAAAAAAGCTCAAACTTTAATATTTTTCTCAAAGTCACTCAACAGACTTTAGAAGAGAATAAAGGTAAGCTCTTCAAAACTCTATGACAGGAAACGTAGGTGTATCTCTTTAGAAAGCTACTAAGCACTCCTGCTCACCCTTTTTTATTCCGTCTTGTTTTAAAACACAGAAGCTGCTTCTCAGCTTCCACAGGAAAACGTATTAACCAACGACTTCCGCTCTCGGCACACCTGCAGCATGCCTGGCTCTGCGACCCTGTGCGTTCCTACAGTGCTTGCCACAACAGTCTGCAGAGGATCTGAGGACCTGGACTGCTCCATCCAGAGCAAGGATACAGACCTTCTGTACCATTAAAAAAAATTACTACAGCACTTCCTGTAAAATTATGAAATTCTGAAAGCTCTAAATTGTTGACATGTGAGCTCTCGCAAATTGTCTTTGCTGTCATATTAATTTTTAAAAGATTTATTAATTCATTTGAAAGGCAGAGTGACAGTGATGGAGAGACTGATCTTTCACATACGGGTTCAGTCCCCAAATGCCCAGAACAGCTGGGGTGGACCAGGCCTAAGCCAGGAGCCATCATTCACTCCTTCTAGGTACGTCGGCAGGGAGCCGAATTGGAAGTAGAGGAGCCAGGACTGGAACCTGCATCCCATATTGGGATGCACGTGATCCCAAAGGCTACTTAAACTGCTGCACCCTAATACCTGCCACTTTCATATTAATTTTTCAAAACTTTATCTAATTCTTGAGGTTCAATGGTAGAAGAATAATGGTATTTAAGTCAGTTGAAACCAGCAGTAAATGGAATCCTACAACTTAATCTTTCATATTCAGTTACATTAATGGTAGTCACTTCCTGTACAACCAAATCCCAGCTATAGACTCAATTTTACCCAGAAAGAAAAGCTATTCATGGGGGCCGGCGCCGTGGCTCACTTGGTTAATCCTCCACCTGCAGCGCCAGCATCCCATATGGGCACCGGGTTCTAGTCCCAGTTGCTCCTCTTCCAGTCCAGCTCTCTGCTGTGGCCCGGAAGGGCGGTGGAGGATGGCCCAAGTGCTTGGGCCCTGCACCTGCATGGGAGACCAGGAGGAAGCACCTGGCTCCTGGCTTCGGATTGGCATAGCTCTGGCCATAGCGGCCATTTGGGGGATGAACCAACGAATGGAAGACCTTTTTCTCTGTCTCTCTCTCTCTCTCTCTCACTGTCTAACTCTACCTGCCAAATAAAAAAAGAAAAGCTACTCATGGAAATTATTTTTACTTTGGGTCATAGTCTCAGTTTCTCTTAACACTTACAAAGAATAGACAGATGCCACAATGTGGAGAAGACAGTGCCTGAGATTTCTCAATCATCACTTTCCTCCTGGTTGTATCATCGTAAAAGTACAAATCATGCTTATGACAAAGCACTTCTTTGCTTTGACATATTTTGCTAAATATAAATATTTTATTTTGTTTTGTTGCTGTTTACTTTAAATGTATGTAAAATTCCAATAAAAATTAGTTTTGAAATTATACAAAAACCCTACTCACAATTTAAAAAAAAAGTTGTGGCTTTCCTAAACTAGCAATGAAGGGAATTTTGGTAATAGAAATGGAGCAAATCCACCCAGATGTCATAAATTTTGATAACATTATAATTATACTGATTTAAATCAAAATCAATATACTAGAAAGTAACATTTATGCACACATCCTCTAATGAGTATCTGCTGGAAACATGAAGACAGGAGGCGGCAGAACAGAAGATTCATGCAGGGCCCTCAAATTGCATCAACTGCAGCAGCAGCATGAGACTGCATCAGCCAGACATGGGAGTAACCTAAATATACTCAGTGACAGGCAGAGCTAGACAGCGAGAGAGAGAGAGAGACAGAGACAGAGAGACAGAGAGACAGAGAGACAAAGGTCTTCCTTCCATTGGTTCACCTCCAAAATGGCCTCCACGGCCAGTGCGCTGTGCCGATCTGAAGCCGGGAGCTATAAGTCTGTTTTTCCATTAAGGTCATCAAACTTAATCAAAATTTATCAGTATAAAAATACCCTCATAAACTGGTAATGTATATAGGTCAGTTCTAAACTCTCAAAAACATGACAGCAGCTTTTCATCAATATAGCACTGTGTATCTGAGGATCCTAAAACTATAATGAACAAAAAAAATTTAGTTATCTGTACTACATTCCAGTAGCACATCCCAACAGCACTGGAATACTGGAAAATGAACTTTCCAAGAGAATTTTAGGGCTCTTAAATCTTTTTCTTTTAAAAAGTCTATTATCTCTAACTGGTAAGAAATAACTCAACTTTAAAATTGCACACAGATGATGTTAGGAAGCAAAATCCACCGCCAGAAAGCAGAGAACAAACTCCCCCGAGACGTGCACACCACTCAGTCGGCGCAGCTCATCCGAGAGCCGGCCCCAAAGCACACCTTGCAGCCTTCAACGGTCAGTGCAAACCGTTCAGTCCCAAAACCATGCTACCTCTTGGGACTAGGTTTTTAAAAACACTTCAAAAAGATACTTCAGACAAAATTTTCATTTCCAGAAAGACACTAGTCAACATTTCCATTCTCAAAATTTCTCTGTTTCACACACATCCCTAGACATCTTCAAACACTTGAATGAGTACATAAAAAAGTATTAACTCACTGAAAACTCATCCAATGAGAATGCTTCTGTGTAGCTGATGACAAGGACATGAAACAGTACCAGCACCTGACCAAGAAGTACTGAGCAGCAGTGTAACTAAAACTGAGAAGTACTGAGCGATTCACGGTAGCCTATGATGACACAAAACCAGTTGAAATACAAAAAGCTGCAATGGCCTGGTAAATACGCTTTTTGAAAATTCAAATATAATTTTTAAAAAGTACTTGTGAATAAAATGATATGTTTGGGATCTGCCTCTTTTTTTTTTTTTTTTTACAGGCAGAGTGGACAGTGAAGGAGAGAGACAAAGGTCTTCCTTTGCCATTGGTTCACCCTCCAATGGCCGCCGCGCTGCGGCTGGCGCACCACACTGATCCGAAGGCAGGAGCCAGGTGCTTCACCTGGTCTCCCATGGGGTGCAGGGTCCAAGCACTTGGGCCATCCTCCACTGCACTCCCGGGCCACAGCAGAGAGCTGGCCTGGAAGAGGGGCAACCGGGACAGAATCCAGTGCCCCGACCGGGACTAGAACCCGGTGTGCCGGCGCTGCAAGGCGGAGGATTAGCCTAGGGAGCCGTGGCGCCGGCGTGGGATCTGCTTTAAAAATCAAACAGTGGTGGAGCAGTGAGTAGAGGTAGAGTGATACAAAACTGGACATTTTTTCATACTGTCCAAGCGGAGTGTTCATGGACCATTCACTATAGTATGCTCTGTTCAAATATATTCCAGAATTTTTACTATAAAATGTTACACTAAAAATCAAACATAATTTCTACAATCTTATCTCAAATCAAGAACAAACTATATTACTAAAAGGTGAATGAAAATCAGAGTTTTCTTTTTGTTAAATTAATGAATCCATGACATTCAGGCATTGCATTTGAATTTTAAGAAGAGCACAGGGACAAGTGCCGTGGTGCAGCGGGTTAAAGCACGAGCCTGCAGTGCTGCCATCCCATACGGGCACTGGTTCGAGTCCTGGCTGCTTCACTTCCAATCCAACTCCCTGCTAATTGGCCTGGGAAAGCAGCAGAGGACGGCCCAAGTCATCGGGCCCCTGCATGCACATGGGAGACCCGGAATAACTCCTGCCTTCGGATCAGCTCAGTTCCAGCCACTGCAGTAATCTGGGGAGTGAACCAGCGGATGGAAGATTCTCTCTCTCTCCCTCTCTAACTCTTTCAAATAAATAAAATAAATCTTTAAAAAAAAAGCAAAAAAGACCACAAATTGGCTTGCTAGGTAGCTATTACCACAGTTGATTCTTTAATTTTACAAACCAGACCACTATTTCCTGTATTTCCCCTCATCTTTTTCTTAATAAAAAAAAGAGGGGAGCACCTAGCGATTTTACTCCTTATTTTATTAACAAAAATGGATCAACAGAACCAACAACAGTGGTAAAATTTTGTGCTACTTGGTCTTTTTTCTTAAAACAAGCATTAAGAAAACGCAAAATAAATAGTTGTAAGTAAGCCTTTCAAACCATGAGATTCTTTTTTTTTTTTTTTTTTTTGACAGGCAGAGTGGACAGTGAGAGAGAGAGACAGAGAGAAAGGTCTTCCTTTGCCGTTGGTTCACCCTCCAATGGCCGCCGCGGCCGGCACGCTGCGGCCGGTGCACCGCGCTGATCCGAAGCCAGGAGCCAGGTGCTTCTCCTGGTCTCCCATGGGGTGCAGGGCCCAAGCACTTGGGCCATCCTCCACTGCACTCCCAGGCCACAGCAGAGAGCTGGCCTGGAAGAGGGGCAACCGGGACAGAATCCGGCGCCCAGACCAGGACTAGAACCCGGTGTGCCGGCGCCGCTAGGTGGAGGATTAGCCTAGTGAGCCGCGGCGCCGGCCTCAAACCATGAGATTCTATTTGTCTTCCTTTGCCATGAAAAAAGCCAACAGTGTATCCAGCATAAACACAGGTATGTTCACCGTCTTCCAGTTCCTGAAACACAGTTCTTACTCCTTCACAGCCTCCCAGGACAAGAACTGCACCCCAATTTTCCAAAAACGTGTTTCCAACAGCAGTGTGTGTATGGGAGGTGCCTACGCACCTAAAATGCGCTGTGATTTGACATATGTTACGTATCAGGGTCGTAAGAACCGGGAGGGGTCTCAGAGTTGCTGCCAATGAGTCCCCTGACCTAGGACATACTCCTAACCTCTGGGTTTCAGCCTCCTGATGTGCCTGAGGCACAAGCTTTCAGACTTCAACATTTCACTCTGTGACCCAGCGCACACACCTGTGCGCACACACGTGTATCACCGAAACAGCTCCTGTTCAGCACTGGGATTCACTCTGATGCACGGTTTGGTCAAATACCCAGTAGAGTTGATTTCACACTACAGTTTGGAAGAACCAGGACTGCATCCTCTCTGGGCCCCCGCAGCTCTGACACCTGGGATTCCAGCAAGGAGTGCAACACTCCCTATCTTGTGCCTCAGGGGGAAACCACGCCAGCCAGGTCATCAGTTTCCCCAGTACTGATTAACATATAGGTACGGATGCTTAACTAGCAAACTGTAGGACTTTAACAATCGAAAGCTGAAGCTGACTTGCTGCGTTCTATACTTGGAACTGTCAATTATCTCCATGGCTAATCTACACATTCCAGTAGACAAAGCAGCTGTTATCTTCAAGTCAAAGTAACTTCTATTAGACTCTCAACAGAGGAAAATAAGTAGACAGAGACAAGTGCCAGAAAGTGACTCTAAATGCTAAGGATTAACAAAACAGTAAAGATTCTGAAAATTTTATGTGCATAAAGTAAACTAGAAATAGCTCTCACAAATGTTAAATACAAAAGTTCTTACTTCTAAATGCTACAGTATTCAATGCAGATGGCTCAATTTAAGTGTCAGCCAAAGAAATCAAGTATATAATCATGTTCAGTGCAGTTACGTGTATTTATTAAATGGATATGTTAAATATAATTTAATAGGAAGGAAATTTTTCCTTCCTTCAACATAAGTAAAAATATTTTTAAAAATTGTATACTGATAACATTCTTTAATTTTAATTGCATAATTTAAAAGGCTGTATGTTTCAGAAATCAATGTGAACACACAGTCTTCAGATTAGAAATTTAAACCTGTCACGTTCAGTCATCTTTACAGTTGCAAAAAGAAAATACGTAAAATATGCAAAAGTTACATGAAATCCATGGCAACTCCAAAATACATCAACTATTTTGTGCTGAATTATCAGTATTTCTAGCAACACATTAGAATAGCCTCCCAATCAAACAGCTTTCCACTGTCACGCCCAGAAAACCCTTCTTAATTTTTCTTCTTCTTAGCCTGAACATGAGGTTCCCTCATATCTTTAATGCTATTCTCCTAATAGTCGATAAATTTCAACTAAAATCAAAATCCTCATCAAGTGTTTGGAATATCACACTTCACAATTCTTAACACACCAAAGAATTTGACTGCTTTAAACACTCGTCCCCAAAAGAAATGTACCATACAAGAAAACCTTTAACTAAAACTACCTGTGAAAAGTTTCCAAGGAAGGGAAACCTAAGACAATTCACTGGTAGGTTTTGTTCTCCCTTTGCGGTGTTGCGATTTTACAGAGCTCCCCACATTCTAAAAGTACACTATGGCAACAATTAACACCACCAGTCTGGGACACATTTGGAATAAACTGTTTCCTTTCAGAGCATTCAATTCTTTAAAAATTCCGAAGGGAGGGAAGCTTTATCTCCTGTGTGTTGGTACGCAAACATAAACCTGCCGTTAGGCCGACTGGCTCTTGGGGGAAGCAGCCCCTCGGCCGGCTGGTTCCTTCTGGAAATCACGGGCAGATCCCCTCTGAGACTGCCATATGCTTAACCTCAGAGGAGCCTTTTTAAGGAAAAACAAAACACCCAACTTATAGCCTTTAAGAACAAACGTGCAAACAGAAACCAGGATGACAAAGGCTGTCTTTTCAGGGCTTTGCTAAACAAAGGTGGAACTGGCCACCCGGAAACGTCTGTACTCCAATTAGCCTAGTACTTCTTTCTCTACCCAGATGAGGGACACGTTCGCTCAAGTCCATCTGGGCGACTACACGCTAGTGAATTTTCCCTTCTTTCCTCTCTGCAGTTAGCAGAGGCAGGGCAGGGGGTGAGACGTGGTAATCCCGTCTGGAATTTTCACAGGTCTAAGTGCAAGAGCTCCCAAAACCAAGTAAATAGCCACCAGGTTCACACACCCGTGACTGCTGAATTGGATCTGTACCTATGTGAAAGCGGCAATGCGTTCTGCGTGGGCTCAGGCCTTGGCTCCGAGTTCTGTGTCACGTCAGGTGTCCTCTCATCATCTGTCCCGTTGATACTCTCCGGTGTTAAAGGAGACTGGAGATCCCCACCAGCTGATTCCTTTAAAAACAGGGGGGTGGGAGGCAAGAAGAGTTACACTCTTGTCAAAGGATACATCATCATAAAGTTAAAATTGGCTACTGAATGATCCAAATTCCGATTCAAATTTCAGCCAAAGATTAAAAACATGAAACTTGAAAAAAAAAAAGTTTTGTGGAAGAAAAGCAACTCATTAAAAAAAAAAAAAAAAAAAACAAAGAACCTCACAAAAACAACACAACTTAGAAACGCAGCTTCAAAGAGCTGAAAAATTTCTGGGCTTAAATAAGCAACCAACTGGATACAATAAAATGTATTTTAAGAATTAAGAAAAAGGAGATGGTACAAAAAAGACAGCAGTTTTATTACAGAGGAAGCAGCAGAAAACAGGAGGTGTGCGGAAGATGACCGTGAGAGAGGAAGGTAAAATGCAGAATGAAATCCGCAATAATTTTACATTTTTAAAATCTGGCCTACTTACCAATTCCCATTGGGCTACTCAGAAACCAACAAGAAGTAACTCTGTAACATATTATACATAATGCTAGCACATTTCAGTTTTTCTTGTCTGGTACTCATAACAGCATTATTTTTCTTCACAAAATTTCTTTTTTTTTTTTTTTTTTTTTTTTGACAGGCAGAGTGGACAGTGAGAGAGAGAGAGACAGAGAGAAAGGTCTTCCTTTGCCGTTGGTTCACCCTCCAATGGCCGCCGTGGCTGGCCCTCTGCAGCCAGTGCACCGCGCTGATCCGAAGGCAGGAACCAGGAGCCAGGTGCTTCTCCTGGTCTCCCGTGGGGTGCAGGGCCCAAGCACCTGGGCCATCCTCCACTGCACTCCCGGGCCACAGCAGAGAGCTGGCCTGGAAGAGGGGCAACCGGGACAGAATCCGGCGCCCCGACCGGGACTAGAACCCGGTGTGCCGGCGCCGCTAGGCGGAGGATTAGCCTAGTGAGCCGCGGCGCCGGCCCCTTATTTCTATTATTAATAAAAATCTGCCTCTCAAGCAAATTTAATCAATCCCTCTGGAGAAGAAATTAAATTAAAAAAGAAGCTCAGACACTTATTTTTGTGTCTGCCATCGTCAGACTACTCAAATTCGATATCACAAATCAGAGTGAGGGGCCACTTGCCAGAGCAGCGTTTGCTGGCAGCCCAGTGACTTCACAACCGACACGGAAACAGGTAAGAATGTGTCCACGGGAAGTGGTTAGGCATGGTCGCAATCAGTCTACCTGAAGAATTCAAGAGGAAAACAAGCTGAGGGGTGGAGTTGACTGGTGCAGTTAAGACAAGCAAGCCGCACACATCAGAGCGCCAGGGTTCAAGTCCTGGCTCTGCACTCGACTCCAGCCCCACATCATGAGAGGCAGCACAGCCGGTGATGGCTCATTCCTGGGTTTCTGCCACCCGCGTGCAGATGTGGACAGAGTTCCCGGCTTCCGTGTGGCCCAGCTCCAGCTGCTAACCAGCAGGTGGGACGACTCTCAAGTATATAAAAATGAATATAAGCTGAACAGGAAAATGTTTACAACTGAAAGAAATCTGGGCCGGCGCCGCGGCTCACTAGGCTAATCCTCCGCCTAGCGGCGCCGGCACACCGGGTTCTAGTCCCGGTCAGGGTGCCGGATTCTGTCCCGGCTGCCCCTCTTCCAGGCCAGCTCTCTGCTGTGGCCCGGGAGTGCAGTGGAGGATGGCCCAAGTGCTTGGGCCCTGCACCCCATGGGAGACCAGGAGAAGCACCTGGCTCCTGGCTTCGGATCAGCGCGGGGTGCCGGCCGCGGCGGCCATTGGAGGGTGAACCAACAGCAAAGGAAGACCTTTCTCTCTCTCTCTCTCACTGTCCACTCTGCCTGTCAAAAAAAAAAAAAAAAAATCTGACAAAGCAGTATCCTGTTACGATAATTTGTATACTTTATACTAAGAATGCTGCACATGGAGTACTAGAACGAATACAGAAAATATTAATGTGGTGAAACTTTCCTTATTGGGACTTGTGGTTTTATATTACTGTATTTATCTTATCTCACAATGAAATGGTTCAACAGCACTACAGTACTATAAATTATATAAGCAATCAAACACCTAAAAATATTTTACCACTATCATTTAAGTATTTTTCAATTATCAGTGAAGTCTCTTATACTGATATTCTACTTGTCTTTTTAAATCATTCCCTGAAATCCTCTTACTTTCCACTAATCAACAGTCAATGCAGGAATCAATACTACAGTAAAAGCAGACAACCTGAAATTGCTTTACAAGGCCGAATCCTGAGGAAATAATGGGAACATCAGCCACAAATTTACTACTTCTGGGTCACTTACGGGACGTTACTAATTAACCATGAGGGTGTCATCTTTGGTAATAAGAAACCAGACCCATTTTCCCCCTAGACAGACCAAACTAAACTAATGAAAGTTGACAGTTCAATCTGCTAGACAGCTAAATTAGCCACGATCTGATTAGATAGAAATGTTAACAGGAACAAATTACCCTGACAAACTGCAAGTGCACAACCCAGAGGACAAACATGCAGGTGACAAAATCAGGAAGAGGATCCAGAGGGGAAGAAGAGTCACAGTGTGACTGCTGGTGTCACCACCCCCATCCAGGCAGATACTCCTGTCACTTTAGGGAGCGAGAGCTAGCATTAGGGTGTGGGGAGGCCACCAGTGCGGAAGTTCCGAAGGAGGACGGCTACTCTGAGCGGCAAGTCAGGGAGAACACAGGGCAGGGACACAGGTTCCACAGCTCCAGCTGCTCAGTGTGGCAGCCTTCGTGAGACGTGAGTATTACTCACACCGAACCAGAGGCATACGTATCTGTATAGATGGGTATTCATAAATCTAGGTCATCATATATAAAAAGAAATACAAAAGCCTACCGAAAAGCATGGTTCTTTAAAAATACGGTTTTTAAAAAATATTTGCTTATTAGAACAATAAAGAAGTTCCAAGAGTATATCAGGACATAAAAAGACAATGCATCCACTTTCGCTCCAACTACCCCACAGGTAGCCCAAAATCCTTTTGTAAAAATTCCAGAAATTTTATGTTAAAAATAGCGCTGTGGGCCAGCACTGTGGTACAGCGGGTAAAGCCGCCAGCTGCAGTGCCAACATCCCATATTGGCACAGGTTCGAGTCCCGGCTACTCCACTTAACATCCAGCTTTCTGCTATGGCCTGGGAAAGCAGTGGAGGATGGCCCAAGTCCTTGGGTCCCTGCACTCACAGGGGAGACTGGAAGAGGTTCCTGGCTTCGGATCAGCCCAGCTCAAGCCATTGTGGCCATCTGGGAAGTGAACCAGTGGATGGAAGATCGATCTCTCTCTCTCTCTCCCTCTCTCTCTCTTTCTCTGTAACTCTGCCTTTCAAATAAATAAATCTTAAAAAAAAAGCATTCTTTTTTAATCTGAATTTTCTGCAATTTCCTAAACATTTAACTCTGCCTATTCTTTAAAAAAAAAAAAAAATTACTCCTACATGGGGCCAGCATTGTGGCACAGTGGATTACGACACTGAGAAACCGTCATCCCAGCTGATTCCCAACTGCTCCACTTCCCGTCCGGCTCCCTCCTACCGTGCTGGGCAGTCCTTGGGCCCCTGCCACCCATCTTGCAGATGCAAACGGAGCTCCAGGCTCCTGGCTTCAACCTAGACCAGCCAGGGCCATTAAGGCCATTTGGGAAGTGAACCAGAGGATCGAAGTTCGTTCTCTTGAAATACATCTTTAAAAAAAAAAAAAAAAACTACTACAAATTGGACATTAAAATAAAAATCTTTGCTGGTCATGTCTATAATAAATATTCAAGGAAGAGCTTTTTTAAAAAAAGATTTGTTTATTTACTTGAAAGAGTTAGAGAGAAAAAATTTCCATCCACTTTTTTCACTTCCCAAATGTCCACAACAACCAGGCGAGGCCAGGCCAGAACCAGGAGCCGGGAGCTTATCTGGGTCTCCCAGTCCTCTACTGCTTTCCCAGTGCGACAGGAGGGAGCTGGATCAGAAGTGAAGCAGCCAGGACTCAAACAGGGCTCCCACAGAGGATGCCCATTGCAGGTCACATCTTTATCCTGCTACACCACAGCTCCGGCCCCAGGAAAAACATTTCTAACTGTATCTTTGATCTATCTGCACACACATAACACATATGTGTATAAATAACAAAGTTAATAAAAACATTAAAAGAGCAAAAACTAAAAAGTAAATCCAGTGAACCTCTCCATTGCCTTTATATCTTAAGAACCCACTCACATCTCGCTTAGTTTCTAGGAAACTCTCTAACCCACAGTGAAACAACCCAATTAGAATAAGAAAAATGATACCTAAACGAATGAGAAAATGCCTTTTGGGAAATTAAACTCTAAGCATCAAGGAAGCCAAGACTGACAGACACGAAATCCCATTTGAAAGGATCTTAGCATAAATGTCCACTGAGGAAATGCTTCCTCGGAATTCTGTCTTTCCATCCACTTAGGAAGCTGCCAGGAAGCCAGAACCCTAGGAATATTCCGAATCCCAGGAGAAGGAAGCGACGTGGCCCTCACCGCGGACTCAGCCCTGCAAGGAGAGTGGGCAGGGGGCACCGGGCTGCACTGCCTCTCCCAGCAGAGCAGCCCACAACCACCTTCCACCAAGTTCCACGGTTACAGCGTGCAGGGCCTCTCCACATTCAACAGTCACCCCAAGTCCAAATGGACAAGAGAACACCACTCTTTTCCGAGCAGCGGTTCTGAAAGGAGCTGAGGAAGCTGCCAACGATGCTGAGTTCTAACTGCAGTGGCAACGGTGAGCGATGCAGACAAGAGGACACACAAAGGCAGCCGAGGCCGAGCGCTCCAAGTGCCACCTCACCCCTCGTCATACGCTGCTGCCCACATCTGGTCTTCTCCCAGAGCCACCACCAGAAATCCCACCTGCTGACCATCACACGTCCGTTACCCTGACTGTCCAGTGAACCCCTGCGCTCCCTTCCTGATGTGACGAGCACCAACAGATGGATGCCAGGGCTGGTGGCTG